AAAATGATGTGTTTATCACTTATATATCTTCTTTTGGCGCTAGTATCTTTTACTGAAATATAATTTTGTAGTTTTTAGAATATTGATATAAATCATATTAAAACTTTATACAAATATATCATCTATTTATATAATATTTTATGAAATATATGTGTTTACATTTTCAGATTTCTATATATATATACATATATGTATATATATATATATAGTAACTTTCGCTGTGATCTTCGTTGCAATTGAATATATTCTTCTAAATTTTAGCTTTTATAAAGCTTAACTCCTTTTTTGTTCTTATTCTTACCTATTTGTTCTACGAATTGAATAAGAGTAACTGATACCGTAATTAATTCTAGTATTTGGTAAAAATCGCAATCTACCTAAATTATAGATTATATGCATGTATCCTCTAAATGCTCTGTACATTGCGAAGAGAAGAGACTTGAAAAGTAGTTCATGTTTTCAATATTTAAGAAATTAAAGAGAGTCAAGGGATTAATTAACATTAAATTTTTCACTTAAAATACCCTTAAAATCGATGCATCTAAATTATTTCACTAATTATATATATGGCAGAGTTCCAGGCTGAAGATTGGGATATTATGGAAGCTATTTGGATGAAGTTGTTTTAAGATATTGCGGTCTTATGACTGAACAATTTCTTTTTAGGAGAATTGTTTTTCATAACATATATCAGTAAATCTCCGTAAATATTTAAAGTAGAGACCCTTCCGTTACGACTTTATTCTTTGTGATATATATGCTGTGATATATATATATTACCTTTCCATTCTGGAAATCTACTTAAGCACGACTTTGTTTATTGTATTTATAAAGAAATAAAAGATAGAATAAAAGATATTATTTTAAATTTTATTTCATTTATAAATTTTTTTCACTTTATTTATATTGAAGTCCATTTTCCTCCATTTGAACTTTAATTATTATACTATTTCCTATACCAGCATTTTCGTTTTGTGATAGTTTTATTTTTTCGCTAAATATTATTTATTTTTATGATCAGAAACTATATTTATTATGGAGCTGTCTAATTGGTCATTTAATTGAAATACAACTTTATTATTTCTTGAAATAGTATTTGTTATTAAAATTATTTGCCGATATTTCGATTATCTTCGGCAATCATGAACCAATAAATACTTATATACATATGTATAATGAACAAAAAAAAATTAAAATATAAAAATAAAAGACAATAACTAAAAGAACACTTATACCATGCATTATCCTGTGCTCTATTTGTTTATAATGTTTATGTATACAGAGTGTTTATGTATACGGATATGATATTTTTGTACATAACAATTTCAATAATATTAATTTAGAAACATTTTTAAATCAAAAAGTTTAACTTTTAGTCATTTAAATTATCATTAATTTGTTTTTTGGAAATAATATATTATTGCATGGCAGAAAAGCACGTTTGCCTTTATTAATCATACCAGCACTTACTATTCGGATCCGAACCAACCAATAATCTATATAATCATCCACCTACATGCAATAATAATTCATCAAATTATTATTAAAATAAGTTGTATAGTTTTTGAATGCAAATACTTTTATAATCCTTCAATTATTTTTTTACATATGGATTATATGATTATGATTATATTATATTAGAGGTATCGATTAACATATTGTACGATAAGGTGTATGTATAAATATACACAATTCTTTTTTTAACATTTTGCTTGAAATACCAATATCTGGATCCATTACACCTTTCTCCTTTAATTGCATATAATCTTATGATCTGGTATTCGATATTTATAATAAAATTAAATGTTATAATATAATTTCTATATAATTTAAATGGAGAAAAAATTTAGTTGCTATAAAAATCTTAAAAAGACTATATATACATAAAAACATACTAGCAATATAATCCAAAATAAGAAATAAATTAAAATTTTACTTCAAATACATTAAAGCAAATTGTCAGTTATTGGATTGATTTGACCATAAATATTTTCAAATGCAACACGAAATCAATTATGAATCCAATACATAAATAAAAACTGCTTACTATTATTCATTAAATACTAAAATTGTTTTATTTAAAATTTGTAATTATTAAAGGTCGGTTTGAATTGCTGTTGCTAATTGCATTGCTTGCATAATTGCTAACGCATTGCATATGAAAATGAAATAAGAATATGCATTAGCAACAGCAAAAAACGTAAACTGGTTTCATTTTGATTGCTTGCTAATAGTCAATTTTACATTTTTGACTAATATGCATTTGGAATATATGCAACGTGCTTGCTTATGCGTTAGTTGCTTGTGTTTTGCTATTAGCAAATGTGTATGGATTTCTTTTTTTGTTTTTGTTTTAAGGGAATGTGTACGCATTATTTCTTTGTCAATTATGATGTGTGCGTACAATTTGTATGCAATTAATATAATTTTATTTGTAATTAGATTATGCCTAAACTTATGTTTATTTTAATTATTAAATTTATGATATATATGATATATATATATATATATAGATAGATATATATATATATATTAATTATGAACTATTAATTCATCAAAAAAAATTCTAACGGCTATCGTGAAATTTTTGAACTAAAAAAGTTGACTCTACCACAACTCGATTGTCCTACACGGTGGGGATCGACATATAATATGGTAGAAAAAGTTTATGCAGCCAAGGAAGTTTTGGACAACGTAGAGTCTGTACAAAATAAATCTTTAGATGAGAATTTTGAATTATGCGATGAATTTTGGGAGTTTGTGAAGAGTTATTCTACTGTGTTTGAACCATTACAACGAACAATCATAAAATTTCAAGAAGAACATCTGCATTATGGAAATTTTTTTGCACAGTGGATGAAGTGCAATCTTATAACCAAAAAAATTGTAAATGATTTTGATGATAAAAGTTCTCTTGTAAATAAAATTGGAACGAATTTGTTGCATAATATAGAAGTGAGAACTGTAAAACTTCTAACAAACAAAAGCTTAAACGCATGTTTGTATTTGGACCCACGCTTTAGCCATACATTGACTGTAGAGCAAAAAAACGAAGCTGTTCTGTTTTTAAAACGACTATATAATAGACTGACAGCACTGAACTCAGGTTTCCTGATTGATAAGAAGAATTCAGCCACAAATTGCACACAAATGGAAGATACTCTCGAATATGAGGATAGGTACCTTAATGATTATCTTTCTAACCACTTCGAAGCTCAAAGTAATAACAACATGGACGTCTACACCAAAATTGAAATTTTGAAGTTACCTTTTCAACGTGTTGATATAAATGTATTGGACTTTTGGAAGGAAAGACAGTTTGCTGATCCAGAATTACATGCGCTTGCGAATATATGTTTTGCAATTCCACCAAGTCAGGTAAAATATTCGTTTAGCATAATATGAATAATCAAATTAATGTCATTTACATTTAAGGTTACCATCGAGCGTGCTTTTTCGTCACTAAAATTGATATTATCTGATCAACGAAATCGTCTTAATCATGAAACTTTAGAAAACATTCTCATGGTTAAACTAAATCCGCAATTTTTGGACCATGCTATTGATGATATGCCGTTGTTTCAACCTCCTGAATGGGACTTAAATTTAGAAGAATAATAACATCAAATTAAAATTTTTAATCATAATTGATAACAAAGTTTTTATGTTTTTTACCGGGCGTAGGTCGTTTATTAAACACATTAATTTATAAAAACGTTTTTTAAATAAAATAAAAAATTTCACTTTTTAAACTGTTTTAAATATTAAGTTATATTTTAATTTTAATACAAAATTATTTATATATATTATATATATATATATATTTATTTATATATGAATTAATAGTTAATAATTAATATATATATATATATATCTATCTATATATATATATATATATCATATATATCATAAATTTAATAATTAAAATAAACATAAGTTTAGGCATAATCTAATTACAAATAAAATTATATTAATTGCATACAAATTGTACGCACACATCATAATTGACAAAGAAATAATGCGTACACATTCCCTTAAAACAAAAACAAAAAAAGAAATCCATACACATTTGCTAATAGCAAAACACAAGCAACTAACGCATAAGCAAGCAAGTTGCATATATTCCAAATGCATAATAGTCAAAAATGTAAAATTGACTATTAGCAAGCAATCAAAATGAAACCAGTTTACGTTTTTTGCTGTTGCTAATGCATATTTTTATTTCATTTTCATATGCAATGCGTTAGCAATTAGTCGTTTGACAAAAATCGACTGGTCCATAGTTATGCATTAGTCAAAATATGGTTGCTTTTGCTAATTTTCAGCAAGCAATTCAAACCCTGATTAAAGTTAATTTACAATTATATTTACAAGACTTAAAAGTGTGGAACACACTTCAAAATATCAAAATATTGTGAGCGAGTCTCGAATCTGCATTTTTTGCTCAATCGAACTTCCATACAAGAAGTGAGCAACTCTTCTTATCAGAGTTATGGTTGGGGGCACCTCTACGCTCTTTCTTCAAGCTAAGACCATTGTGCAGAGCACTTTGGTATAAAACTTATAACGTATGCGAGTCATGGCTCAATCTTACCTTGAACTTGGTCTTGACTGTATCTGCGCAGTGGCACTTTCAATTTGTATCGCCAGTCAAAGAAAAAGCAACGAAACTTCGTATGAAGTGTTAATATCCAAAATTATATTCGATCGCTGGTGAAATTGTTAATAAATTAAGTTTTGAAGTTTTTCATATGAATTTTATACGCATTTGATGTAAAATATTTCTTTTGTGTGGTTCAAAACGCGTTTAAAATAATTTTTTTCAAAATCGAAATCGAGAAATAAATTTTTTTTTTATAAAATGGAACAAATTGCCGTTGCTTAACGTGTTCCAGTGTCAACAAAATTTAATATTTATTTGACGACTAAGATCGTTTGAAGTTATATCTTTTAATTTTTTCTTGAAAAATTTCCATAACGGAACTCTGAATCGAGTTAAGTGCGGGTAGTGCTAGTGCAGCATGGATTGGCGAAATATTGGTTTGTTGTGGCTGACTTTATTGCCACTTGTCTGCGCTTGGAGTACAACATTAACTGGTGGAACTGGCGAAGCAACACAGAAGAATGGTAAGAATTATGCAATTTATTTATTTTATGAGTTGGGAATAGAAATGCAACCATCTAATGAGTGGGGATGCGAGTTTACAGTTCTAATGTGCATTGTGCGGCAACTGCGTTTTTTATTTGCAGTAGTTGAAGATCAAGAATTACTGACTTTAACATTACAATTTAGTTTACTTAAGCATTGTACGGTGTTAATTAGACTGTGAATTAATAAAATTTTTCTAAAAACAACTCAAAGTAGGAACGGTCAGATATACTACTTCGTTTAAAAGTTATGTATGTATTTTAAGAGTTTAACCATTAAAGTTTTTACAATTTTTATTTTTCCAGAAACTTTTTGTTTTAAAAAGTGTTATCTGTTGCATTTATTAAGTTTCTGTTAAAGTATCATTTAATTTTTAATATAATTTTTTAATCGTCTTTCTTTTAAAATTTTTACGTATGTATATTCCATATATTAAAAAATGTAAGCGAAATTTAATGAGCTTGGATTCGGTTGATTAACCTCTAATTTTGCAATGAGCTACTGTTTCTGGAAAAAGATTTAATCTGCTTTTCTCCATAAAAATTTTTTTTATTAGTTTGTTTTGCATAATATCTCTGAAGCATAAGTTACATAATCCCATTATTATGAGATTTATTAACTTTAAACATCCATATTTTTATTTATAAAAATTTGTTAAACATTTTTCTCTTCAAAGTGCCGCAAGTGTTATATTTAAGCTAAAAAGTAGTTTTTCACTTAGCTTTGTCTTTAAGCCAAAGATTGTCTAACAAAATTATTTTATAAATATTAAAAACCTGGGTATATTATTGCCTAGAGTACACAACTGTATCGCAGTTGATAATGCAAATGATAGCATTCTTCAAAATTATGTATGTATATTGATATGATCAATGTTTGAACATTTTTTAGTACTAAATATTTTAGTTTTTAATACTTATCTCTTAATCATTTTATTTAAACAAATTAAAATAATTAATTTTTAAAACCCATAAAGCTGTATAGTGTATATAATTTCTTAAAACATGATTCCAAGTTTATTTATACATTTTTTTTCCTCTTAAGTATCAGTCAGTTTGAGTCTCTACAGCTGTTAAAAAACTTTTGAAAGACTCATAAAATTTATAAAAAAAATGTTAATACTATAATAAGACTCAAAAAAAAATATAAAAAATAAAAAGTATTTTTAAGCTTGCCAAAAATGTTGTTAAATGACTTCATTTTTCTTTTATAAATTACATTATTCCAACTTCTTTCTTACTTCATTTACTTTCAAAAACTCAATAAAAAAATGGGTGAATAATACTATTAAGTGGATATAATTTAAATTGTGTTCATATTAAACTAAATTAAATGGCGTGTTACACAATAAACAGAGTAAAACAATTGAAAATTACTGCTTTCCGCAGAAAATGTCGATCATGACCAACTGGTATTCGTGTAAAGCGTTTCTTTGCTGCTTTCAAGCAAGAAAACGCATCCAAGTATCAAGCGATTTGCATGTGCAACGTGCATTTGAGCACAGGTCAACTTAATCAAGCATTGCATTAAATGCTATGAGGCTTAATGGCCACACTACACACTAAAGAACAGCAGGGCATTCTTTGACTGAAGTTTAAAAAAAATAATGGATACAAAAATATGGAACTTGTTTTTGTGTAGTATTTCCCCGCACTGTATTTGACAATGACAATGGACGGCCTACACTTGTCAAAATATGGGTCAGTCGAGGCCGGTAACGGCAAAGTCAAACTAAACCAGTGCTTCACTCTCCATGGCACAAATTTGCTGCGCGATTGAAAACATTTTGTTGACAATGTTTGTTTTAAGAATGAAGTTTCGAGTATGAAGAACATAAACAAAAGTTTTGAATTACAAAAAGAGCAAAAATTAATGTAAACTGAAATGTGTGAAATTGTTTAATTAAAGAAAAAACAAAAAAAAAAATCACAATTATAAAAAATATTAACAAAAAATTAAAAAATTTCATGCTTAAGTAAAAGTTGAAAAATTGTCAAACAAAAATTATTATCTTTTTGTTGTTGGCATTTTATTAAAATTCTTCTCATATTATTAACAGTTGAAAATATTTAATAGAGAGAATGAGGTATAACAATGGGGTTATTGTTGATAAAAATTATTTATTTTTTTTTTAATTTTAGTACTTCACACAATTTAAAGAGGCGGTTTTTAATAAAAATGCTCTTCACGCATTGTCGATTAAATTAAAAATAACAGAATATATCATTATAAGTGAAATAATGCATTGAAAATAAAAATTTATCAAATTATATTTAATATAAATGTTTAATTGAAATAACTTTTAAATTGAAATAAAAAAACTTAAGAAATTAAAAAAATAAAGTTTAATTGAAATAATTTTGAAATTGAAATAAAAAAATTAAGAAGTTAAAAAAATTAATTGAAATAATTTATTTAGATTATTTTAACCTAATTTTATCTAATTTAATAGATAAAATAGTAATAGTAATATTAATAGTAATATTATTTAAATAATATAAATTTTATTTTATCTAATTTAAATTTACATAAAATAATACATTGAAAATTAAAATTCACCAACATAAAGTTTAATTGAAATCATTTTTAAATTGCAATAAAAAAAAAATAAAAAATTAAAAAAATTAATTGAAATAATTTTTTTAGATTATTTTAACTTCATTTTACCTAATTTAAATATAGATAAAATAATGCATTGAAAATTAAAATTCACCAACATAAAGTTTAATTGAAATCATTTTTAAATTGCAATAAAAAAAATAAAAAATTAAAAAAATAAATAAAATTAATTGAAATAATTTATTTAGATAATTTTAATTTCATTTTAACTAATATCAATTTAGATAAAATAATGCATTGAATATTAAAATTAATCAACATAAAGTTTAATTGCAATGTTTTGATCTCAATTGCAGTCAAAAATTAAATTGCAACTTCTTATTCCAAAATTAGATTGCAATATTTTTAAATAATAAATTTATTATATATTTTTTTTTAATAAAGTATTTTTAGGGGCTAATTGGTCATATTTTTAAAAATTGTTAAAAATAAAAATTAAGAAAACGAAACCACAATTTATTTAACAATAATTTTTATTTTATCGATATTTCAACTTTAGTTTATATTTTTTTTGAAATATAATGTTTAACATAATAAACTGTTTTTCCATTTTGGTATTGAGCGACATCTATTAAAACGTTCTTAATTTGTCTAATAACCCCATTAATTTTGATCACGTCTTTTATTTTCGCTGTTGTTTTTATGCGGTTTTTTAATGCTAAACATTTAACAATAGAGAATTAAAGAAAGAAATAAATAATAAAATAAATTAGTTGAATTTTTAATTATTATTCAAATTCTTCTATTTTTATTGTTTAAATCAATAAAATTAAACAAATAATTAGTCAACTTATTGTTAAGCCTTTATGGGATTCAATCCATTTAATAAAAATGGGTAATACATTTATATAATGTTACATTAAAGAATATGTTACTAGACAATATTTATAAAAAAAACAAAAAAATAAAAAAGGTTAGGAAAATATTGGTAGTAAGATTCTCCCTTTAGCACTATTAATCTTAGCGGAATTTAAAAAGTAATACGTAATAGTACGCTGAAAATACTTATAGACTATACTCTAAAAATCGTTGAAAAAAAATATATATTATTTTTTAAAATTAATTTATAAACATATTTAACATTAACAAATAGACCCATTCAATATCATATAAATAAAACAATAAATAATAAATATAAATACAATATGTGTAATATAATCTAAATAAATTTCGTCATTAAAACAATAAATTATAAAAATAATACATAAATCAGATGTGAATAAAAAAATTTAAAAGTATTTTTTAAACATAATTTTTTTTGTGTTATAATATTTATTGCTATATATTTAAAATTTTGCAACATAAAAAATTTTAAATTTTACCAGATTTTATTTTTATGATAAAATATATATTTTAATATATATAACCAAAGAATTTTAACACATGAATCATGTTATTTTTAACCGATCTACTATATATTAGGATTTATTTATTATAAAACTGAAATTAATGATTCTTCCTTAGGTCACAAAAATAATTGAATTATTTTCAAATCCAAAAAGAATCGTATGATTTAAAAACAAATCATATGCTAGTTTAATATTGGATGACCTGCTCTATGGTAAATACCCCACATGAACTGCTACATTTTAGTTTTGCTGATGGCCTTCTGCCATCACTTTCATGCTTCTGTGATGCTTACGAACCAGTGTTGTACATTGTTTTCATTCAGCTGAGAGCATTTATTATTTTTATTCCTGTGAAATATAGTTTGCAGTTAGAAATTAATATATAAATACTAACGATTATTATAGATAGGCTATACATGCACTGCGACCTAAAATATCTTTTGTTCAGTATTAACGAACTTAGATAACTTTTGTTATTGTGATATATTATGTTAACATATTTAAAAATAGTCGAATCTCGTTAGCATATTTTTACATAGATTTAGTATGGATTTTATATGAAAAATTACACCTCATAATTGTCGAGTTGTTTTAAGTACAATAGTCCAAACATAACAGTTGACATATTGTACTTAGTGCCAAGTCTTATAATGTTTTTAAGCTTTTTATTATACGTTATGAAATTTTAATCTCTAATAAAGCATCGCATGGTAGATTATAAAAAGTGAGGCTCTCCATATAATATTTTTCATTTAACTATATATGATACAGCGTTAAGTATGTTGGGATATAAACATTTAATCAACATTTTAATTTTATTTCTGAGCATATTTAGAAATAATCATAATTCACTTTTTCGAAATATTATTAAAAATTATTCTAACATATATGAATAATAAATAGATATTATTTTAAGTGGAAGACCTTTATTACCGTCAAACGTAGCTTAAATAATATCTTTCCTGTAGCTTAAATAAGTTATAACACCTATGAAGCTAATACTTTCTATT